ATCATCATCATCATCATCATCATCATCATCATCATCATCATCATCATCATCATACTGAGCAGATAGAAATTTGTCATTCAAGAGTATCGAATAGTGACATTACTAAATGTCAGACATATCTTGTTACATCATGTATTTTGTAGATCGATGAAAACATTCATTGCTTTATATTTTAGATGATATCTCAACAACAACAACAACACCAACAACAACAACAACAACAACAACAACAACAACAACAACAACAACAGCAGCAGCAGCAACAGCAACACTACCAGCACCAATAACTACAACAACAACAATATCAGCAAAAAAACAAAAACAAAAACAAAAAGAATGACTTTCAAAATTGTACCGTAAACACTGAAAGTGGGTGGTTGGTGGGTGGGTGCTCTAATGTGGTTAGCGCCATCTTTTCTATCAAACGACCGTTGTCAAAAACCTCTGTATTTCCTTCTTTGTACGTTACTCTCTAGTAACACATCGCATCTTCTGCACTTATAAGACCTGTTTGTGTTTAAAGTGCCGTAAACCTCTTACTAAAGCTTTTTTTTCAAAACGCTGTAAACACATTAGATATATTGGTGTGCCGTAAACATTGATTAGTCATGTTTCTTAATTAGAAACAGTTTTCGGATAGGTGATTATAAGTCATCTCTGAAACATTTAGATCTAGATCTACTTCAACACGCAATGCATTAACCTCTCTGGAGGAAGAGGGATTGCGTATTTCTCCGTATGTACTCATGTTCCAAACTGTTCTCACCTCTCTCGAACTGTAGACCGAAAGTCAAGGGGAGTGAATAGAAAAAAGAACGAAAGAAAGAATGAAAGAGAGAAATGTAGGAAGGAAGAAAGAAGGAACAAAAGAATTAGAATGAAGAAAGGAAGGAAGGAAGGAAGGAAGAAAGAAAGAAAGAAAGATTGAAAGAAAGATTGAAAGATTGAAAGAAAGAAAGAAAGGAAGGAAGAAGAAAAGGGGAAAAAGAAAGAAAGAAAGAAAGACGGACAGGAAAGAAAGAAAAAAAATGCAAAAAAAAAAAGACAGAAAAAAAGAAAGACTTAACAAAAAAAAGAAAAACGACAAGAGCCTTGAAACCTTACAGAGCCTGGGCCAATCTTCAACATGATCAGTTTGTGTCTCGTGGGACGTTCAACTTTTTCAAAATCCCCCCCCCCCACCTCTT